CCCCCTGTGCAGCGGCAGGCGGCGCAGGCCGGGAAGTTTCCTGAGGGAAGACAGATGGAGCAAGAACTCGGCTGCCTGTTGCTCTGCAGGAAAAACATGCCCCAGAGAGCCCTTAGGAGGCCCCTCCTGCGCCAGGTTCCGCTGGGCCTGCCTGGCCCTCTACCTCGCTAAGGCTGCCCTGCGGTGGGCAGCACTTCCCCACACTCCCCCGCACCCTGCACAGTGAGGACGTGCAGTCCAGGCCCCGGTGGGAGAGCTGGGACTGGCCCGGGTCGCCTAGATCCTCCTCACTCCGAGTTTCCCGCTGCCCTCGCCGGGCCCAGGCTGGTGAGCAGGCGGAGGTCCCGCCTCCAGGCCTTGCTGCCCTCCGCCTCCGTTTCTCCGCAGCCCAATACCACCACCACCAGCTTCCAGATCCCCGAGTCTGCAGGCTCCTGCCTCCCAGTCCTACTCTGTCCCACACACCTGCTCTCCCAGCCTTGTGGCCGCAGCTCTTTCCCACTCACATGCGGGGCCCTGGCACCGGCTTCCATCACCCGCACCGCAGATGACCCAGCATCACCTGTGGCCTGGGCACGTGGTAAAGGAAGATGCTAGCAGTGGTTCTCAACCTTGGCTGCACATTAGAATCACCTGGGAATCTTTTTAAAATCCTGATTTCTGGGCCTCATCCTCTGGAAATTCTGTTTCTTTGTTATGGGGTGGGGCCACAACATTAGTAACAAAGAAACAGAATTTCCGGAGGATGAGGCCCAGAAATCAGGATTTTAAAAAGATTCCCAGGTGATTCTAATGTGCAGCCAAGGTTGAGAACCACTGCGCTAGAGGAAGAAGCTAGATCAGGGCCCAGGTGGGTTTTAGGGCAGGGAGATTGCGCTGTAGGAGACAGTGATGATGGATACGGTGCAGTTGTCCAAACCCACAGAATATCCAACACTGAACCGTGATGTAAACTATGGCCTGTGAGTGGCAGCGACGTGTCGGCGCAGGTTCATGGATGGTAACAAGTGTCTCATTCTGGTGGGGGCTGTCCACAGTGGGGGAAGCTGGGGGGGCGGGCACGGGTATGTGGGAGCTCTCTACTTTCTGTTCAGTTTTACTGTGAGACTAAAACTATTCTGGAAAATGACGTCTATTAAAATATATTCTGTAGGCTGGGGTGTTTTGTTTTGTTTTTAACCTAAGTTTCTATCCATCAATGGATCATGAAATCCACTTGCTGGCTCACTGACAATACTTTTTTTTAAAAATATATTTTATTGATTTCTTGCAGGTAGGAAGGGAGAGGGATAGAGAGTTAGAAACATCGATGAGAGAGAAACATTGATCAGCTGCCTCCTGCACACTCCCTACTGGGGATGTGCCTGCAACCAAGGTACATGCCCTTGACTGGAATCGAACCTGGGACCCTTGAGTCCGCAGGCCGATGCTCTATCCATTGAGCCAAACCGGTTAGGGCCATACTTCTTTTCTTTAATGAGATAGTATAAGATTAGAATACATCATGCTAAGTAAGTAGTGTTCGGTGAAACCTCGTTTTACAAATTGTATTTCCTTTTCATTTAAAATAAACCTGCAACCTGTTACTGCAGAGTAAGGAATTGAGATTCAGGAAGGTTGAGCAGTGGTATCATTTACTATGAATTTATAACTGGTCATTATAAGTGCACCATGAGCCAGGCGCTCTCCGAATGCTTTGCATGTTCATTTCATCCCCACAGCACCTCTCTGGGGAAACAAGGTGTCAGGTCACCGGCCAAGGTCACTCAGCCAGCAGGTGGCAAAGTCGGAGTCTGTGCCCAGCAGCCTGCGGTCACAGCCCACACGCTTCGCCTCCAGGCCCTGGTCACACAGCTGGTTGTGGTGCAGCTGGCACTTGAGCCGAGGCCCAGCTGGCTCTAAGGCCAAGTCTCCTCTCCAATCTAGTGCCGCCTGTCCCCTCCCCACACACCCCTGCTCATCCTCCAGCCCCTGCTCATTTACTCCGTCTCCGTGTCCTTAGTGGGTCCCTAGTACCGACAGAGGCCAGTTCCTACTGTGTCTTAATCTAGGCTGAATGGGCTTAAACAACACCCATTTATTCCATCATTTCTCCAATGGAAGCACACACACACACTCACACTCACACACCCAGGTTTGGTAGTAGGGTTCATACTCCAGTGGAGAATGTTTTTGATAACTGATTATTACAGCTTGCAGTAATCAGTGTAGCAGAGAGGTCTGTGTAAGAAGCCGTGTTCCTGAGTTTCCCTACAGGGGGTGCTGAGGGGTGGCCCACAGGCTTAGAAACCTGAGAAGAGACAGGAAAAGGGAGAGGCTGCATTTTGCCCCTAAATGGTGTTTGCTTTTGGGGGTGTGATGGTGACCCCTCAGCAGGTGGAGCTCCCCAGCCACCCCATGGGACAGTCACTGGGTCCTCGGTGCAGTGGGAGCCAGGAGTTCCAGGTACCTAGCTGGCTCAGCAATCCCGGAGACTTGGGCCTCTGGGAGAGCACACGCTGGAGCCCAGCCTGCAGGTCTGAAGCCCTCACCTGGTGTGCCCGCCTCACCTGGGAGAGGGCAGCCCATGCAAAGGAAGGCACGTGGTTTGGAGGCAGGTTGGCAAGCCCTGAAACTGGGGGGTGGGGGAAGCTGGAAACAGGACTCAGGGAGCCCAGTGGATCCTGGGAGGTCTGGAGTTTTTGGACCTCAGGTCATTGCTCAATAGTGGATTGGTTGTGCAATGAATTTATTGAGTATTGCCAGCATTTCTTATTGAGATAGCATCCTATATAATAAAAGCCTAAAATGCTAAGTGTCCAGTCGTCCCATCAACCAATCAAAGAGTAATATGCTAATGATATGCTAAGGCTGCTCAACCACTCGCTATGACATGCACTGACCACCAGGGAGCAGATGCTCCATGTGGTAGGTTAGCTTGCTGCTGGGGTCCAGCCAATCGGGACTGAGTGAGACGGGCTGGACACGCCCTGGAGCCCTCCAGCGTCCCTCCCCAGCCCTGATCATGCACCATTGGGGTCCCTCGGCCTGGCCTGTGCCCGCTTGCAATCCAGGACCTTTCAGGGGATGTAGGAGAGCCGGTTTCGGCCTGATCCCACAGACCAGGCCAAGGGACCCCACTGGTGCATGAATTCGTGCACCAGGCCTCTAGTAGAGGATAATAGGAAATATCAGAGTACATCACACATGGTGAAAATAAGTATGGCATAGATTATATAATAGAAAACATCAGAGTATAACCAGACAATCAATGGGTCCCTGTCACTACTTGAGCCAATTAATCAGAGACAGATTTGAATCATATGAGCTTTTATTCTAATACTAGTGGCCCGGTGCACAAATTTGTGCACATTGAAAGGAAATTAATTAGAAGAAATATTTTAATATTGCTATTCACCCTTTCTCTATAATAGAAGTGTCAACCAAATTCACGATCGACAATGACAGATTGTGTGATTTGCACCAGTGAGAGCTTTATATGTATTGTGCACGTGAGAGTCAACGTTTATTTTTAAATTGCCAGTGCATGTCATATGTAGTGGCCGGCTGGTCGGTCGGGTGGTCGGATGGATGTACGGTCGGTCACTTAGCTTTATATATATATATATATATTGGAGCCCAGGTGCACGAATTTGTGCATGGGTGAGATACAGCCAGCCCACCCCAATGGGGGCCTATTAGGGGTGGGACAGACAGGGGGAGGGGCAGCAGGCGGTTGGCCAGCCAGCCCCACTTCTGATCGGGGAGTTAGGGGGCCGATCTGGGGCCAGGCCAGCTGTGGGGGGGTCTGATCGGGACCCAGATCAAGCTGGTTGGCTGTCACAGTGCATGGCATAGCCACCGGTCATTCTGGTCATTCTGCTGTTCCGGTCACTAGGCTTTTATATATATAGATAGATATCATCTCCCATTATTCTTTGTTTTTAGCCAAGATGTGATACTCATGTCCATTGAATGCCTCGCACATATTCAGTTGGCAGAAATTTGTAAAGCTCTGCCTTTTTTCTCCCCAAACACATTTTTTTAAATTCCTCTACTCTGCTTAGCTTTTGTAGTACTCACTCTTTATAACACTTTTCAATACTTAATACAGCTGTCTTAAAATGCTCTCTTATTTATGTTCACTTCATTTCCCACCAAGTTGCAAGTGCTCAGAGTTCCTATACCTATTTTATACTTCATTTTATCTCCCTCTATACAATAGACAGGCTTTAATGTTTAGTTATAATTATTGTAAAGAAAATGCCCAACATATTCTTTAAAAATAATTCAGTAGCCTATAAATTTTTTGTCATCAAA